AACATGGTTGGTTCACTTACCGGCAGGAATGGGCACTTTCGGGATCGTCTTTCGCTTGAACACGACGTAGGGAGGAAGCTTGAGGCCACCCGCCGTTACTGCCAGCATGAAAGTAACACGTTCCTTCTCATATCCTCCACTGCGTACGTGAACCGTACGCGCTCCTTTCATTTTGATCGTACGCTCCGCCGGCATCTCCAAGAATAGCGGAGTCTGGTCCGCGTTCACGATGAGGTCGAGTGGGTAGTCGTTCACAGTGCGCATCTGGCGCACAAACTCCCAAGAACGATTCCACCTTCTCCTTGCAATCTGCAAACAGTGCCACGACACGCATTAGATCAACGTCGTGGTCGTAAACACAAGCAGAATAAAGAATAACTTACCGGCGGGCAACCTCTGCCCCACAGGCCTAGGATTTGAGCCTCTCTTTTTCGTAAGGCCAATGCTCCGTCTTCACTCTTTCTGAAAGGGTACCTGGCAGAAACACTCTTTCCTAGCAGGGTGCATGCTCCTCGTACAAGTATTATATATCTGCTACACTTGCAATGTCTCATGTTGCAGTGAGTTGCGCTGTCAATTTGATGCTAAGGATGCAAGTTTGATACCCGATGTAGGTAATTCCTGTTGTGTGTTGCAGTGGTACTTTGTTTAACACGGGAAAATGTAATGTTAGAGCGAACTCGGCTTCGTCAGGGTGTCTACACCTCTTATCTCTGGAATATCAGTGTCCTAGAACCAGGCACTTTTTTTTTGTAAGGGTCTAGAAATGAACCACTTTGAAAAAAAAGGGTGCATAATGAAAACCAGCCTTATAGTCAGTGTCATAAGGGTGATTCACCCTGTTAACTAGAGGCCTGGTGCCCCATCTTCGTCTTCACCCGCCTCGCCAAGTGCCAGCGCGAGCGGAAACGCGTCGCCCAGCGAAACGATGCGCGCCAATTGACCGACGGCATCTGGTGCTTCATGTACTTGGAGCTCCACTGTTGGAGCATGCGGACCGAGACGGCGAGGCCCTTCGCCCGGTGGTTAAGGAAATGGCGGTAGACCGCCCGTTCCATGAATGGGAACTTCGCCTTGCGGCCGGAACCCACGAGGCGGCGGCGGCAGCTAGATGCGACCTCCAGCCGCTTCCTCAGCTTCTTCCAGTCGCGGATCTGGCAGGGCTGAACCTTTGCGAGCTTCACCAGGGCGCGATTCCCAAGATCGGGCTGAGAGTTTTGCATCTTCAGCCAGTGTAGCTTCTCCTTCACAGTGATCGCATGACGCACTTTCTTCGTCATGCAATGGCAAGGGGATGGTGTCTCACCATCCGCGTTGTGCTTCTTCTGTCCCTATGGGCGCTTACTCTGCGGGAAGGTGGGGACAGCCACTCGTGGCAGGGGAGGGCGAGGAGCTTCGGAGCTACTGCTCGGTTCATCCCTGGTAGAAGCACTACCAGGAGGAGACGGCTGGGGCAAGACGGGGCAAGGCGACGTCCGTGCGCGTACAACAGCGGCACATTGAGAGTTCGAAGGCTGCTGCCGCCTAACTACCGTACTGCTAGAATCAAGTGAGGAAGCCATTCTAGTCTACTGCAGATTGGTGTCACTCGCCATGGCGGAAATGGCTATAAACAAAGAAGCTAGAGTGCAGGACGGAGGCGCTCTCACAGCCTGCCGATCACTCTTCAGTATCGTGCACTAGAACCGCTGCACAAAGAGAAGGTGAGAGACCCATTTGAGACACAGGGACGTGACCAAACCAGTCAAGACGTGACTGGTACAGTGACAACGCAACGCCGTGCGCGATTCCGGCCTCGGCGGTTGCATGAACTCTCGCTGCGCAAGGTTTGCTTTGTTTTCAGCCTATCAGGCAGGCCCTCAGATTGGTTTCAGGGCATGCTGATGGATCAGCGTGCCCTGCCCAACGTCGTGACCAAATCAGCGTTGGGGGTTTAGTTTATGCTGATTTTGTCAGGGTGAAATTTCTGTGAAAGTTTAGAAGTAAAGAAGAGAGAAGGGAGGCATTGCACTAGCAAGAATGAGGATACAAATAGCAAACCCTAGAAGGGTTGTACTCGCTATAGAGCACCCCACTACAGGCTAGAGCATAAGATAACATTCTGACACACCCCCATAGCCAAAGTGGGGTGTAATCAGCAGAGTAAGCAAGGGAGTACAAGCTCAGGGTGGATCACAATGTCACCACACATTCTGAGCACAAGTTAAAGAAGCAATAGTTTAAGTTCACAATTATGAGCAAAGCTAATGGTAGTCACAACGGGCAAGTGAGGAGGAGGAGAGAGAGTGAGAGGAAAGGAGATAGGAGGCGACGGCTGAAGCTGCAGATACACGGGCAACAGGAGGCAGACTGGCACAGCGGCTACCGGACTAAGCGCCCGGACTACAGGAGTAACAGGCCCCGCGGCTAAAGTAGCGGCAGACGAGCAACGGACCCACGGGCGGCTGGCGTAGAAGTCTACGACTGGGCTACCGGACGAAGTCCCCGGACTACAGGTGCTGCTGGCGACACGACGGCAACCTCCGTGCAGCTTCCCCAAACTATCCCACTCCCCCCTGGCACACACCCGCTGCTACACCGCTAACTCCACTCCCCCTTCACCCCCCCTTAGTACCACTCCACCGGCTCCAACACGTCCACCCCCCCTCAGCGGCAGCTGTAGCACAGGGAGACGGAGGAGGAGGAGGAGCAGGCGACGCCACACACCTGCCACCCCCCAACCGCCACCCCCCAACCGCCACCCCCCAACCACTACCCCCCAAACCCTAAAAACAGGGTAGGGAGGTAGGGGGGGGGGGGGGGGGGGCAACGCGCGGCCCCCGGTAGACTCCCCTCCCGTCGCCTGTCGAGGCGACCCTGGGGGGGGCCGCAAGCGGCCCCCCCCAGGGTCGCCTCGACAGGCGACGGGAGTTGGGCCGGGGCAGGTCGGGGCCGGGGCAGGTCGGGGACGGGGCGGGGCAGCAGGGGCCGCGCACGGCTCCCCTGGGCAGCGCGACGGGGCAGCAGGGCCGCGCGACGGGGCAGCAGGGGCCGCGCGCGGCTCCCCTGGGCGGCGCGACGGGGCTGCAGGGGCCGCGCGCGGCTCCCCTGGGCGGCGCGACGGGGCTGCAGGGGCCGCGCGCGGCTCCCCTGGGCGGCGCGACGGGGCTGCAGGGGTCGCGCGCGGCTCCCCTGGGCGGCGCGACGGGGCTGCAGGGGCCGCGCGCGGCTCCCCTGGGCGGCGCGACGGGGCTGCAGGGGCCGCGCGCGGCTCCCCTGGGCGGCGCGACGGGGCTGCAGGGGTCGCGCGACCCGCCGCGCGCCTCGGGGCGCGCGGCGGGCAGGAAACCGCCGCGCGCCTCGGGGCGCACGGCGGGCAGAAAACCGCCGCGCGCCTCGGGGCGCATGGCGGGAAGAAAAACTGCCGCACGCCACGAGGCGTGCGGCACAGAGAGTAGCAGTAGCAGTTGCAGCGGAAGCAACAAGGTGGTGAGCCCACCCACAGGATCGATCCAAGGGGATCGACCTGCTCTGATAGCATGTGAAAGTTTAGAAGAAAAGAAGAGAGAAGGGAGGCATTGCACTAGCAAGAATGAGGATACAAATAGCAAACCCTAGAAGGGTTGTACTCGCTATAGAGCACCCCACTACAGGCTAGAGCATAAGATAACATTCTGACAATTTCATGGCTCACTGAATCATCAGCCTAGTAGAACAAATTGAGCTCTGAGGCCAGCACTACTGGCGTAGCTGTCTTAGGTTCGCCTTGTTACCGGAAAAGTCACAAATTCGATTCCCGTGTGTGAGAAGTACACTACCGTCTGGCGGGGTTATTGGGCCTAAAGCAGAATGTACGCGAACCCCATTTCCTGTATCCAAGGCATTTTGGTTAGTCCGAATCAGTGTAACTCGGTACACTATACTGATACTTCAGTGTAACTGGTACACTTATACACTAATTCATCAGGGCAGTCCTATACGTTAACTGAAAAATCAGTGCAAACATAAAGGAGATACTGAAATTTCAGGGAAAACGAAAATCACAGCTACAAAATCAGCCTAATCAGCGTGTTTTATGCTGATATCTGAGGGCCTGCTATCAGGTGCCAGAGTTGCCCACTGGAATTTGCCATGTGGCAGATTCCAGTGGGCGGTCACGTTATCCTCGTATACTCTGTTTTGCGATACTGATCAACAATCTAGAAGTGAAGTCACGTCACACCCCAGATCTTTTTTTACAGCTTTTCTGCTTGCTAAAAAATATACCTTATAATAAGATCCGAGTATTATGTAGGATATTCCGTTGAGGAGACCCCCCCAATTTTTTCCCAGTGGTTATCATAACACCTTAGGGTGTTTTATCCGGGAGAATACGGTAATCATGGTGTGCAAGATCTAGTTTTGGTGCTTCAGCACATGTCAGATAATTTTATTTACGGTAAACAGAGCAACAAGCCACTCCACAACCTATTTACAGTACAATCATACCCATTGTTAAGATTCCTAAACATGTCAATCTTGCGATGGTATCTCTTAGCGATCAACATGCCGCATGTATCTCCGCGCCTCACACTATACAATCGCTTGGTTGAACATGTATTGCCAGATAACGGCCGGCCGTCAACACTAGCCACACAAATCTGTGAGTCAACCATCAGTGAGGAACAGGATGGAAGGGGAAGAAAAAGAAACTGCATTGAATAACCTTCACACACAGAGGCAGAGACAGAGACGGAGGCAAAGACATCAACAGCGGCACCAGACACAGGCACTGGCACAGGCACAGGCACAGGTACTATTTGCAGCGTATAGCGTATAACCTCCTTCCCCTCCACCCCACACACAGACCTTCCCAACTCACCCGACTCATCATATTGCCCTGCAGGGGGCTGTAGGGCAGCAGCGAGTCGCATGAGAGGCCAAGATTCAACTGAAAGAAGCGCATCAGACTTCTTGCTCCTCCCTCATCCCACAACTCACACCCACAACCCCTCGACTCTCACCCTCCCAGCCCAACTCACCCTTCTCATCATATTGCCCTGCAGGGGGCTGTAGGGCAGCAGCGAGTCGCACGAGAGGCCGGGATTCATCTGGAAGAAGCGCGTGGGGGAGGCGACGCCAAACGCCCGCCACAGCTGCTGGCAGGTCTGCGGGCCCTGCAGCACAGTCACGGGCACACCTAGGCTCGTGTAGTTGGCTAGAGGCGGAGGAGGAGGGGGTGGTTGAGGGCTGGGTGAGGTTGTGGGCGGGGTTTGTGTCACGGCTGGGGTGATTTGGGCCTGGAGCTTGCATGATATGCGGGTCATTCCCTCTTCTAGCCACGTCTGGTTGAGGGATACACAGAGGAGCTGGGAAGGAGGGAGGGAGGAGAATGGGGGAGAGGGGGGAGAAGGGGGAGAAGAGGGGGAGTGGGGAGAGGAATGTGTGAAATGATGTGAGATCGGGTTCTGAGACTTTGGAGAACAAACTACCCTGACGACCTGTCATTGCAGCAGCTTCTGTTACCAGCGCACCTGCATTCTTGTCAGCCATCTACACTCACCTTCACCCACCTACACCCACCTCGACCCACCTACGCTCACCAACACCCACCTACACCCCCCAAGACCCACCAACACATACCTGCAACCACAAGCACTCACCTGCACCTGCATCCACACTCACGTGCCCTCACCTAAACTCACCTGCACCCACCTGCACCCACCTGCACCCACTTGCACCCAACTGCCCCGATGCTCACCTGGCCGGGTCTGGGCCCATCAGAGCAGGTGAGAGCGGGGTTGAGCGGCTGTATCTGCGTGGAGAAGAGGGCATTGAGTGAGTCACACGTGTCACCCTGCACACACATGTCAGGTATAGGAGGAGTGGAAGAGGAAGCGTGGTTACTGGAAGGATTGGGTTGAGTGGCTGTATCTGCGTGGAGAAGAGGGCGTTGTGTGAGTCACACATGTCACCCTGCCGGCACACAGGGAAATAGGCGAGTGAGTGTCTGGGAAAGAGGCGAGGGGGTTTGAAGGGAGTGGGCGGATGAAGGGAGTGGGCGGATGGAGGGAGTGGGCGGATGGAGGGAGTGGGCGGATGAAGGGAGTGGGCGGATGGAGGGAGTGGGCGGATGGAGGGAGTGGGCGGATGGAGGGAGTGGGCGGATGGAGGGAGTGGGCGGATGGAGGGAGTGGGCGGATGGAGGGAGTGGGCGGATGGAGGGAGTGGGAAATGCAAACACAGGTGGCGATTCAGAGTGAGCAGTGAAGAGGGGTTAAGTTTTGAGATTAGGCTCAAAGGCGCTTACATAAGCGCACTGGGGTTTACACAAACGCACTGGCACTTGGATAAACGCACCTTCACTTGGATAAGCGCAGTAGAACTTGGAATAACGCACTGGAAACTGCTTCAACACCATGGCGCTTACATAATTAGCAGTGTACATGGCAGTGCATTGGGAGAAAGCCCGGCTGGTGACGTTAACAAGAGTGCCTACAGGGATGGGCGCTCGGCACTGGAACCCCTGTAGGTAGAACAAGGAGACAGAGAGGACAAATCAGTCGACTCAAAAGTCAGCTCGGCACTGGAACCCCTGCAGTCAGAACAAGGAGAGAGAGAGGAGCGGATTGGTCGGAACATGGGTATCTGACAGAAAGGAAACACTATACAGGCAAGACGGGGAGGGGGGTATGGGTTTGGACGCTCTTGAAATGTCTCAAAAGGAGGGGTATGGGTTTGGACGCTCTTGAGATGTCTCAAAAGGAGGGGTATGGGTTTGGACACTCTTGAGATGTCTCAAAAGGAGGGGTATGGGTTTGGACGCTCTGCCGTTACAAGGAGAGATTCTAACGAGGCAGGCCGAATGGGTGGTGGGAAGATGAGGGAAATTGAGTTGAAGTGAGGGGCAGAGAGGGGAAGTGAGAGAAACTGAAGGGCAATGTGTGGCGATGAGGGGAAGTGTGGCTGTGCCGTGACCAGAAAGGGGAAATATTGAGCTTTCAGACCTTATTTTGGCTCCAGAATTCCGCTTGGGAGAGCCCATAGGTGTTGAGTTGAGGATGAGAGAGCATGTGATGTGATGCCACACAATGTGCTGTGAGATGAATGTGCTGTGAGATGAATGTGCTGAGCTGAACCAAACACAGCCCCTTTAACCAAAGCCCACCAAAGCCCTCCTGAGCTTGTTTTGGTTGAAGTAGTCTGCTTGAGTGAGCCCATAGGTGTTGAGGATGAGCGGGCATGTGACATGGAATGTCCTGACCCCAATCAATCTACAGCTTTAACCTTCCTTCAGTCCAATGGCAGACCTTGTTTTGGCTGAAGAAGTCCGCTTGGGTGAGCCCGTAGGTGTTGAGGATGAGAGGGCATGTGAGGCCGTAGGGCGACAGGAAGGTGGGCATTCGAGTCTCAGCCAATCGCACTGCATGCATGGGGTAAGCATACATGGGGTAAGCATGCATGGGGTAAGCATGCATGGGGTAGGCATGCACGGGGTAAGCATACATGGGGTAAGCATGCATGGGGTAAGCATGCATGGGGTAGGCATGCATGGGGTAGGCATGAGGCATGCAGGTCACTGCAAGCAGCAAGGTCAAGGTGGCATCTGAGTAGACTCCAAAGGCAGCTGAGGGATGTAAGCCCAAGGGAACCCCAGTTAGGAGGCATGACTTTTCGTGGCAGCAGCTGACAGCAAGTGCTATCCAATGGGCCATCATGAACAGAACAAGCGCACGCACATGTCAGAAAGGGCAGATGCTGGTAGCAAGCGAGCAAGCAAGCAAGCAGGCAAGCAAGCGAGCAAGCAAGCAAGCAGGCAAGCAAGCGGGCAAGCAAGCAAGCGGGCAAGCAAGCAAGCGGGCAAGCAAGCAAGTGGGCAAGCAAGCAAGCGGGCAAGCAAGCAAGCGGGCAAGCAAGCAAGCGGGCAAGAAAGCAAGCAAGCGGGCAAGTAAGCAATTGGGCAAGCAAGCAAGCGGGCAAGCAAGCAAGCAAGCAAGCGGGCAAGCAAGCAAGCAAGCGGGCAAGCAAGCAAGCGGGCAAGCAAGCAAGCAAGCAGGCAAGCAAGCAAGAAAGCAAGTGGGCAAGCAAGCAAGCAAGCGGGCAAGCAAGCAAGCAAGCGGGCAAGCAAGCAAGCAAGCGGGCAAGCAAGCAAGCAAGCGGGCAAGCAAGCAAGCGGGCAAGCAAGCAAGCGGGCAAGCAAGCAAGCGGGCAAGAAAGCAAGCAAGCGGGCAAGCAAGCAAGTGGGCAAGCAAGCAAGCGGGCAAGCAAGCAAGCGGGCAAGCAAGCAAGCAAGCGGGCAAGCAAGCAAGCAAGCAAGCGGGCAAGCAAGCAAGCAAGAAAGCAAGTGGGCAAGCAAGCAAGCAAGCGGGCAAGCAAGCAAGCAAGCGGGCAAGCAAGCAAGCAAGCGGGCAAGCAAGCAAGCAAGCGGGCAAGCAAGCAAGCAAGCGGGCAAGCAAGCAAGCGGGCAAGCAAGCAAGCGGGCAAGCAAGCAAGCAAGCGGGCAAGCAAGCAAGCAAGTAAGCGGGCAAGTAAGCAAGCAAGCGGGCAAGCAAGCAAGCAAGCGGGCAAGCAAGCAAGCAAGCGGGCAAGCGGGCAAGCAAGCAAGCAAGCGGGCAAGCAAGCAAGCAAGCGGGCAAGCAAGCAAGCAAGCGGGCAAGCAAGCAAGCAAGCGGGCAAGCAAGCAAGCGGGCAAGCAAGCAAGCAAGCGGGCAAGGAAGCAAGCAAGTAAGCGGGCAAGTAAGCAAGCAAGCGGGCAAGCAAGCAAGCAAGCGGGCAAGCAAGCAAGCAAGCGGGCAAGCGGGCAAGCAAGGCCATCCAACCATGTTGTACGCACAGTGGTAACAGCGGGCAGCGCCTTTGGGGTAGAAATAAAAGGGGAAGTAGGGCGAGGGGCAGAGGCAGGAGTAGGTGCCGTCTATGTCATCAATGCACAGCCCCGGGGCACACGGGTTGCGGGGGAACTGGCGACACGTGAAGGAATCTGGTGACGGGTTGGGGGGAGAAGGGGACGACGGGAAAATGGGACAGGGGGACAGGGGATGGGGTACAAGGGGGCAAGGAGAAACAGGGATGGAGAACGAGAAAGGAGGAGGAAGGGGGCAAGAGGAGGAAACGGAAGAAGGGGAATGGGGAAAGGCGGTGGGGGGGAAATGAGGGAAAACAAGAAAGAAGGGCATTGCAGAAACGGTCATAGTGAGAGTGCAAACTTTTCAAGAGATTTCATGAGCAAAAAGCGAAAAGGAGAAAAGAAAGACGGGAGTGGGCTGATAATTGATTAAGGATTTAAAATAAATACGAACTTTTGCATTTTCTCAAGAGCGATGTGAATCGAGAACGAGTGCATGCGTACAAAACTATGTCGTCCACAAACAAACCAAAAGGGCACCTACCGCACTCCACTCCACCTCTCACCCACCACACTCCACTCCACCTCTCACCCACCGCACTCCACCTCTCACCTACCACGCTCCACATCTCACCTACTGCACTCCACCTCTCACCTACCACACTCCACCTCTTGCCTACCGCACTCCACCTCTCACCTACCGCACTCCACGGCTCACCAGGGAAGCAGGCGGGCAGGCCGGCGAGGTGGGAGGGTTGGAAGGAGGGGAGCTTCAAAGGGCACTTGCAGGAGGGCATTCCACCTCTTGCCAACCGCACTCCACCTTACCAAACACACTCCACACCTTGCCCACCGCACTCCACGTCTCACCAGGGAAGCAGAAGGGTAGGCCGGAGAGGTGGGAGGGTTGGAAGGAGGGGAGCTTCAAGGGGCACTTGCAGGAGGGCACGAGGATAGACGGGTCACACGGGGCACGTGCCTTGGTGCATGCACCCGTGCCACAGGGGAGCACTGGGGAACTCTTGCAGGGGTCAGTGTCTGTTGGGTAAGGTGATGAGGAGGCAGAAGGAGAGCAAGGAGAGCAAGCAAGGGTGTGAGGCAGGAGGAGAGACGGGTCCCACGGGGCAAGTGCCTTGGTGCACATGCCCGTGCCACAGGGGAGCACTGAAGGACCTCGCAGGGATCGGTGCCTGCTGTTGGGTAAGGTGATGAGGAGGAGGCAGATGGAGAGCAAGAAGAGCGAGTGAGGGCGGGAGGGCACAGAAATAGACAGGTCCCATGGGAGATGTGCTTTGGTGGTGCATGCACCCATGCCACACGGGAGCACTGGCGAGGCCTTGCAGGGGTTGGTGTCTGTTGGGGGTGGGGTGGTTGGGGGGAGATGGGAACGGGAAGAGTGCAGAGGTATGAGCTTGCACATGGCATGGCTTGCTACCCCTTCTCACTTTCTCCCTCCCTATCTCACCCTCTTTCCCTTCCCCCATCTCGCCCTCTTTCCGTTCCCCCATCTCGCCCCCTTCCCCTCCCCCTATCTCGCCCTCTTTCACTCTCTCCGTCTCGCCCCCTTCCCTCCCCCCCATCTCGCCCCCTTCCTCTCCCCCCTACCTGTGAATCGGAAGGTCCAGGAGGAGAGGGCGACAGGGGCAGGGCATGTGGCTTGCTACCCTAAGCCCGAAACCCTGAACTCGAAACCCTAAATCCTGGCTTGCTACCCCTCCCCTCTTTCCCTTCCCCCCATCTCGCCCCATTCCCCCACCCCCTACCTGTGAATCGGAAGGTCCAGGAGGAGAGGGCGACGGGGGAAGGCAGGCGGCCAGAGGGGGGAGGGAGAGCAGCGCTGGTGAACCCAACGAACAGCTGCCCGAAGGATGGCGACCATAAGTCCGTTGCACTGCTGTCACTGCTGCTGCTGCTGCTGCTGCTGCTGCTGCTGCTGCTGCTGCTGCTGCTGCTGCTGCTGCTGCTGCTGCTGCTGCTGCTGCTGCTGCTGCTGCTGCTGCTGCTGCTGCTGCTGCTGCTGCTGCTGCTGCTGCTGCTGCTGCTGCTGCTGCTGCTGCTGCTGCTGCTGCTGCTGCTGCTGCTGCTGCTGCTGCTGCTGCTGCTGCTGCTGCTGCTGCTGCTGCTGCTGCTGCTGCTGCTGCTGCTGCTGCTGCTGCTGCTGCTGCTGCTGCTGCTGCTGCTGCTGCTGCTGCTGCTGCTGCTGCTGCTGCTGCTGCTGCTGCTGCTGCTGCTGCTGCTGCTGCCGCTACCACTGCCGCCGCCACTGCTGCTTCCACTGGCGGCAGAGGGCCCAGTGAGAGCAGCACAGAGGTCAAGAGAGACGTTCAAGCTGCCTACTAGAAGAGGGGGTTGGTACCATCTGATCAGCATCTCCTTGCTCCTCCCGTTATAGTCAACCCTCATCTGCAACACCTCCTCAGGCTCCACGACAGTTGACAACTTCTCCGTAAAAATCGAAGTCATGTTGAAGTCAGTGTTAACGCCAAAGTGTATAGTATATACATCGTCAATATCCGGGTGCCGAAACACAGCTACACTCCGCGCGCCGTCCGGCCAGCTGCCATTAGCGAGTCTCAAGGATGGGTCCCGGCCGTACCCCATATAAAGCCCGCCTAGGCCCAGGGTCGCATGAGTGCTTATAACGAACGCGAGCCCATGGGAAGCAGATACATTTAGGGAAAAGCCGTATGTGAAGGTGAAAGAGCGAGCCATGCAGGTTGGGGGTTCGGTTGCTGTGGGTTGGGGAGGGGGGAACGAAGGAGAGGAATGGGGGGAGCTGCGGGAACGACGAGGAGGAGGAGGTGGGAAGGGAGGGGAGGAGGAGGAGTAGAGGAGGGGGAGACGGCGAGGGAAGTAGATGGCTCCAGGGGGGGGATCGTCTGATTGGCCGCTGGATGATGCCACATCAGCAGCGACGGAGAGATCTGCGGCGAAGAAGCGTTTCCTGGTGCTGCCACGTGTCAGCAGGGGAGTGGCTGGCATGATGTAGGGGAAGGAGAACGAGTCTGCCGTCCAAAACGGAAGTTGATCCTCCGCTGCTGGGGTTGGCATGGTATGGGGGCGGGGGCAGTGGGGAGAGGGTTAGGCATGAGTAAATGTTCAATCTTAGGCTAGGATGTGGACCGTGGGACACTGGAACTATGGTAGGTAGGTTCCATGGAGGTTCGCTCCTTCTTTTCACCACCCACCAAAACGGCAGCGAAATCGTTGCAGAAGGGGGTTGGCATTGTATGTGAGACGTTGGGGGGGGGAGATGACAGGGGGGGGGGAAATGACAGGGGGGGCCGCGTTGTGGGGTGTGTGAGTTCCTGCTTTGCCCACACCATGGAGAGTCATGGGTGTTGTAATTGTATATTATATACAACATACATTGGCTAGAATAGGTGTAGTCCTTTATGTTCTTGGGGGTTTGGGTGTACACTCCAACCACACTTGGTGGTTGGTCAAGATTGGATTTGGTCATGGTCCTTGGTTGGCACTTGCCAACTTTTGGTCCTTAGACCAACCAATCCCAACCTAGCTACATTGTGAGGTTTCTTACTCCACAAGGCACCTCACCCATTGGCCAACTTAGTGGCCAATAGGGTTAGCTCCTCCTCCACTCTTCTCTTTCCTACATGCTTGTATTATAGAGCCTTGTTGGCTCATCACTCAATACAATCTTGAATTCTCACATGGTATCAGAGCCAAATGGCTCACTCCGTCCTCCTTCGATCCGTAGGCTATAATCTCCTCTCCGCTCCTCTACCCTAGCGGACTATGACCTACATCCGCCCTCCCACACCTCAGATCTAGCCTCCCGCGGCTCAGATCTACTCCTCCGCGGCCTCAATCCGCCCTCCCGCACCTCAGATCTAGCTTTCCACGGCTCAGATCTACTCCTCCGCGGCCTCAATCCGCCCTCCCGCACCTCAAATCTAGCCTTCCACGACTCAGATCTACTCCTCCGCGGCCTCAATCCTCCCTTCCGCGACCTCAATCCTCCTTCCTGCGGCCTCAAACCGCTCTCCTGTGGCAGCAATCCTCCCTCCCGCTGCCACGCCTCCATCTGCGCGCCGACGCGGACGACGTGCGCGCCGACGCGGACGACCTGCGCGCGGACGCGGACGGCCGACACGCTGACGCCGACGGTCAGCGCGGCGCCGTCCACGACCTGCGCGCTGACGCAGACGATCAGCGCGGCGCCACGAACGCCCCGCGCCGACGCGGACGGCTTGCGCGGCAACGCTGCCAACCTGCGCGCCGACGCGGACGACCGGCGCGCGCCACGAACGACTTGCGCGCCGACGTGAATGGTTGGCGCGGAGCCGCGGCTGACCTGCGTGCCGTCGCGGACGGCTGACCGCAGTCGCCACAACCTCCTCCTTCACTCGTGCCCTGCCCCACACTTCTGCGCCAGCCTCCCCCTCCTACCTCCTCCCCCTACTCCACCCTTAACGGCACCTTCAACGGCACCAGCAATGGCACCTTCAACGGCACCAACAACGGCACTGTCAACGGCACCAGCAGCGGCACCGTCAACGGCACCAGCAGCGGCACCGTCAACGGCACCAGCAGCGGCACCGTCAACGGCACCAGCAGCGGCACCGTCAACGGCACCAGCAGCGGCACCGTCAACGGCACCAGCAGCTGCACCGTCAACGGCACCAGCAGCGGCACCTTCACCGCTTCGCCATCATGGCGTCGTCGGACTCATCGGTCGACTTGGCGGCCATCAACACTCTCGAGTTGTTGGGCGACAACTCGGCCGCCAACTGGCACTCTTATGCCCACTCCGTCGAGGTGTTGCTCTCCCCGGTCGTCGTCAGTGGATATACCCTTCGTTCCGTCGTGTTCCAGGAGGAGGGTGGACTCCAGCCCATCGCCCCTTCCGCCCCCACCGGACCTGCTCCCGACGAGCCCGGACCCGAGCCCGAGCCTCCTGGTGATCCTCCCTCTTACGCGTCGGATGTCAACAACCCACAAAGTGTGGAGACTGCCATTCGTGCCTACCACACCACACTCAACGACCACCTTCGCCATCAATTGCGCTATGAGGACGACAAGCGCACCTACGACGATGCTGCTGCCCGCCACCGCGAATACCAAGCCCAGCTTGCCACTTACACTACATGCCTCGCCACCTACACCACCGACATCGCTGCGTGGCGCATTGCTGATCGTCGAGCTCTCGCCATCCTCCTCGCCACTATCCCCTCCTCCCTCAAGCAAGAGCTCTCACCCACCTCCCCCTCCCACCTGTGGCAACTGCTTGTCGACCTCTTTGACAGGCAGGACATCGCCACTCTCTATGCACTCATCAAGGAATTCGGATCCATCACCATGGACTCCACCGCCGATGCAGCTGCATCTACTCGTCGCGTCCTTGACCTTGCTCGTCGCCTTGCTGCACTCGGTGTTGTCTACCCTGACACCGTCATCTGCTGCCACCTCCTCGAGGGTCTCACCCCTGCCTTCGATGCCCACCTACGTTGCGCCTGACGCGTCAGGCGTTTTTTACGCTGGCGTCTGGACGGGGCGTCCAGACGCTTGCCGCCCGGTGTCCTCTGCCCTGGACGCACACTTGACGCTAGTCCGGGAAGGGCAAAACTTTTCCTGGGCAGGGGTAAACAAAACCTGCCTAGTAAGGATACCCAGGGGTTAGAATGCAAGAAGGTCACCTTTGTCACCTAAAGTCATAAATACTCCATAAAATCCTGAAAATCCGGAAAATCTCATCATCTCACACACAAGTCGACAAAATATCTTAATCGCCTTAACCTAATTTTAGCTAGGAAGGCTTAGCGTGACTGGCGTAAACTAGTCTAAGGAATGCTTGGCAATGTCGAGAGAAACAGATCTGTGTAGTGTCGACCTAGATCTGGTTCTAGTTTAGTTGGGGGTCGACCTGGTTGGGAGAAATAGATGTGCTTGAGTACAAATGTATGGGGGGGAATAAATGTGGATCGCGTTTGTTTAGGTCAAAAACGCAACCCCCAGTTTGCGATTTCATCGCAATTCTGATCGCGATGAAATCGCAAGTCAAATTCGTGCGAGGGGGTTTTTTTCCAGGCTGCCCGAAAAAAAATTCCCCGAACGTCTAGCGTCAAACCGATTTGACGCGTCCAGCATCCGGACGTTCACGCCCGGACGCTGGACGCTGCCCTTCCAGAGCGTCGGGCGCAACATAGATGCCCACAAGCTAGCATACATGCAGCTCCTCTCCAAGCATGACACTCCCGCTCAAGTTGCACAATGGATTATCACCACAGAAGCTGAAATCCTTTGTCATTCCTCCACCGCCGCAGCAACACAGCAGCGCAGCAGCAAAAGCGGGCGTGGGGGTGGGCGCGGAGGCGGACGTGGTGGTGGTCGAGGCGGCTCTGGCGGTCGTGGTGGTGCGGGTCGTGGTGCAGCAGCGGCCTTCCCCCCTGTCAGTATCTTCCCCTCTATGGCCCCACTCAAGGCCAACGCTGCAACCAAACCACTCATGCAACTGATACGTGCTTCAAGGCACTCAGCGATGAATGGTTCGCTCAACTGATACGTGCTTCAAGGCACTCAGCGATGAATGGTTCGCTCGTGGGAACTCTGGCACCCCTCCTCGCTGGTCCGCCCTTAGCCCCCGCCCCACTCCCCTCGATGTCCGCACCTCTCCCCTCTACGCGCCTTCCTCCTCCTCCCAGGCCCACCAGGCCATTACTCTCCCCTCGCAGCAGCAGCAGCAGCACCAGCAGCAGCAGCGGCAGAATGTTCAGCAGCAGGGGCCCCAACAGTACGGGCAGCAGCTCCAGCAGCAGCTCGACCTCCAGCCCCAGCTTCCTCTTTTCCCCCCTCCCTCTGTCTCCCAGCAGCAGCCGTTTCCCAGCTGGACCGCCGGGAATGCGGCCTCTGCAGCCCACCTCTCCGATCCATCCCCTGCGCCGTCCACAGGTGGCAGTGTGATCCCCTTTCCCTCCTCTGGCTTTGTTGGCTTGCTTAGTCAGCCTGCATTTGTTGCATCCCTTATGTATGCCCTTGCTATTAATGAAACTTCAATTCAGTACTCCGCCTCACCCTCCTCCACCCTTGAGTTCGTCCTGGACAGTGGAGCCACTGTCACTGTCCTTCGCGATGCTGGTACACTCCATCCTCTCCCCACACCCACGTCCCTCCTCGGCGCTGATAGCAGCTTTTCCATCCCCTTGTCACAACACATCCACCCTTCCCTGTCCTCTCTTTCCCTCATGTACCGTCACAGGTCTTCACATTCCCTCCCTTCGCACTAACCTCCTCTCCCAAAGGTCCCTCCAACAAGCCATGATCACCACTGTCATCCCAGGTGGCGCTAACCATTGTGACCTTTACCAAACCTCCACAGGTCGTTTTCTCTCCCATATTCCCTTCTGTAAACCCTTCGGGTTCCCTGCCCCCTCACCTTCCAAGTTGCCTCCCCCCCCCTCCTTCCCCCCCCCCTTTCCCCTCCCTTCCACTAACCCACCCGTCCCCCCCCCGCCCCCCTGACTCTGACTGCTCTTATCGCTCCCTCTCCCACCCTACCATCATCCTCCATCACAAGCTAGGTCACCCCAACTTCGCTACTCTGTGTTATTCTGTCTCCTCTAGTCTCCTCCACGGTCTCCCCTCCTCCCTCCCTCCCCTACCCAAATCCCCTGCCCACCCATGCACCGTCTATGTTCAGAGCGAGCTCAAGCAGCAGCCGCACCAGAGCTCCCCCTCTGCTGCTGCCCAGCCACTTGATCTTGTTCACATGGACTTTTGGGACCCTAATCTTTCTCCCACTCGCCAAGGCCATCGCTACCTTCTCGTGCTCGTCGATGATTAAGTTGGTACTCGTCCGTCTCTCTCCTTCGGACGAAGGCGGACGCCCCGACTACAATCATTGCCTGGCTCGAACAAGAAAACACCCACTTTAGGCGCCCTGTTCGCCGCCTACACTCTGATGGTGGTGGTGAGTTCCTTAACAACCAAATCTCCTCCTATTGCCAGTCCTGCGGCATTCTTCAAGCTTACACCCTCCCTCACTCCCCACAGCAGAACGGTGTCGCTGAGAGTCGTGTTCGGGAGATCACCAAAACGGCTCGATGTCTTCTTGTCCGCGCCTCATGCCCCCCTTCTATGTGGGGCTACGCCCTCTTTCATGCCGCCCTCCTTACTAACCTTTACCCTCACCCTCTCCTCCCCTCCACCACCCCCACTGAGCTATGGACAAAGACAAACCTGATGTCTCCCCTTTTTGAGTCTGGGTCTCAAAGGCATATGTCCTTATTCACCCGTCTGACCGATCCCGTTCCGTGGGAAAGCTTGCCCCTCGTACCCTTCCTTGCATCTTCCTTGGTCATAACCCCTCCTCCCCCGACTACCTTTTCCTCCACCTCCCTTCCGATCGACTAATTCGCAGTAGAGATGTCGTCTTTGACGAGTCCACCCCGTACTACTCCTCTCCTTCGTCCACTGACCCACTCCCCCCTCTCACCCGTCCCCTTGTGTGGCCTGACACCATCCCTCCCCCTCTACTCCCTCCTCCCCCCATCCTCCCACCCCCTCCCACTCCGCCTTCCCGGTCCCACGATGCCCCCCCCTCGTCTGGTGACATCTTTGACCCGGACCCTCTGTCTTCCCCTGTCTCCCCTGCTCACTCCTCCCCCGGTGCCCCTCCCCCCCCTCCCTCCCAACCCTCACCCCCCGCACCATTCTCAGCCGGTATCCTCACACCAGGTCACGTGACGGTATCCTTGGTGCACCGCCCCCTGTTACCCTCTCTACCTCTACCTTCCCCCCTCTCTCACCCCTCCTTCACCACTTCTTCCAGGCTGTCTTGCATCAAGCCCCTCATGCAACAGCCCCCTCAGCCACCTCTCCACCCTCAGCAGCAGCAGCTCCAGGAGCAGCCTCCGCAGCGGCATCTGAAGCGGCACCAGCAGCGGCACCCGCAGCGGCACCAGCAGCGGCACCCGCAGCGGCACCCGCAGCGGCACCAACAGCGGCACGTTCAGCGGCAGCAGCGGCACCAGCAGCGGGGCCAGTAGCGGCATCTGCAGCGGCACCAGTAGCGGCTCCAGCAGCAGGATCTGCACCGGCACCAGCAGCAGCACGTGCAGCGGCACCAGCGGCCATCCGCGTCTTCCACACCTCCCTCCCATGAGGAGTTCCTTGACCTCCACCTCTGTAACCCCTCCCTTCTACCCATCACCTTCGACCTCTCTGGAACACCAGTCTTCGCCTTTTCCTCTGCTCCCTCCATTTTCATCCCTACCACGTATGAGGAGGCCATGGCTTGCCCCGACGCCCCACTCTGGCTCGCCGCCATCATCAAGGAGCTGGAGGCCTTTGTCGTCAACTCCTCCTTCATTGATGTGCCTCGCCCTCCCCCCTCTACGAACGTGGTGAAGGGGAAGTGGGTGTTTCGCGTCAAACAGCTACCAGGAGAGCCGCCCGTCTATAAGGCCTGGTATTGCGCCAAGGGTTTCACGCAGCGGTATGCTGTTGACTTCCTCGACACCTTCTCCCCCACCGCCAAGCCTGCTACCGTTCGCGCCGTACTTGACCTCGCCGCTCGCCTCAACATGGAGATCCACTCGATGGATGTCTCCAACGCCTTCCTGCAAGGCATGCTACATGAACTGATCTACACGGAGCGCCCGGCGGGCTTTCACCTCCCTTTCCCCACCGACTCTGTCTGGCAGCTACATCGACCCGTGTACGGGCTCTGCCACGCACCCAGGGAGTGGCATGCCAAGCTTGCAGCCACCCGAGCTTGGGTTTCGCACCTCCCGCTCTGGCGCCAGCCTCTTCCTCCGCATCTCCCCCTCCCCCTTCTACATCCTCGTCTATGTTGACGACATAATCCTCCTCACTGCCGACCTTGCCGAGTTCGAGAGTGTCAAGGCGGAGCTCGGCAGCCGTCTCAAGTGCAAAGACCTGGGAGAGCAGCAGCACTACCTCGGCATGACCATCACTCGCGACCGCTCCGCCCGCAAGTCCTAGACCGGTTTGAAATGGCGCGCGGTAACCCCCAGCCCACTCCCCTCTCGGTTAAGCACCACCTCTCCCCACCCTCCTCTCCCTCTGCCTCCTCCCATCCTTATCCTGAACTCATCGGCTCTCTCATGTACGCCATGGTTTCCATTCGCCCTGACCTTGCCTACCCCATCAGCGTCCTCACTCACTTCGTTGGCGCTGGCAAGCATACGGAAGAGCACTGGCAGGCGGCCAAGCGCGTCCTTCGCTACATTCGTGGCACCAAGGACTTTGTACTTACCCTTGGTGGCCCTTCCCCGCCCCTCCTCAGCGGGTACAACGACTCTTCCTGGGCTGACTCTCGGTCGGATCGGCGGTCCTCTCAGGGTTATGGCTTCTCTCTGAGCAGCGGTCTCATCAGCTGGCGGTCCACACGCATCTCTGCCGTCGCCCTCTCCTCCTGCGAGGCAGAGCTCTACGCTGCAACCATGGCCGCGCAAGAGGCATGCTCGCTCACCTTCCTCCTTGATGAGCTTGGTGCCCCCCAACGATGTCCCACCATCTGATGTGACAACGCCAGCACCACTATGATGGATTATACGCGTTCAGCATATAAACGCGTATCGTATATACGCTAACGTGTATACGCGATACGCTTAACCCTAAGATTGGGCATACGCTTTCCCGGGCAAGGGAAAAAGTTTTCTGGGCAGGGTGAAAAATACGTCGTGCTCAACATCCGGGAAGGTAGGTATTCTCTACCCTATTCTCACTAAGACTTCCCTAGCATTTTCCTGAGTCAGAATGGTGGGTGGGGTGGGATGTGGAGTAGATCGCTAGAAGGAGAAGTAGGTATCGGAAGGAACTCTGCTGGGAAGCGGGAATGTAAACCAGAGATGAGTGCCGTTGGGCTGGCTGGCTGGTAAGTAGCGTGAGTGTGAGGTGGTTGGGGGTATTTTTTGACAGGTTGGAGTTTGTAGATAGGATGGGTTTCAATGCGGTACAAAGTTCAAATTGGAACTACCAGAAAACTTCAAAGGCACATTCCCGCTTCCCTAGGCCGCCGAATTGCATTTCGACTTCGGCGAAATGCTCACCAGGAGAATCCGCATTTTTCCGTATACTCACGATTTTTTTCCAGGGCAGCCCCAAAAACATTCTGAGTGCGTATAGCGTATTAGCTAGCGTATAGCGTTTTGGGTATATACGCACGCGTATAAACGCTGTACGCTTCAGGGTCTGAGCGTATAGTCCAACATAACAGCACCATTCACCTTACCAAGGATGCTGTGTATCATGGGCGCTCCAAACACACTGAACTTCGCTACTTCTTCATTCGTCATCTCGTTGAAGCCAGGCACCTTCGCCTTGGCAAAATCGACTCGGCGGCCAACTTCGCCGACATCTTCACCAAAGCCCTTCCCCAGGCGTCCCACTCATTCCTTCTGCATCTCCTTGGCCTCACCCCTCCTCCGGTTTTGGCGGCCTCCTGATGACATCTTGTAGCCTTATGCATGTTGGGGGGTTGTGTTGTAATTGTATATTATATACAACATACATTGGCTAGAATAGGTGTAGTCCTTTATGTTCTTGGGGGGGTTGGGTGTACACTCCAACCACACTTTGTGGTGTCAAGATTGGATTTGGTCATGGTCCTTGGTTGGCACTTGCCAACTTCTGGTCCTTAGACCAACTAATCCCAACCTAGCTACATTGTGAGGTTTCTTACTCCACAAGGCACCTCACCCATTGGCCAAATTAGTGGCCAATAGGGTTAGCTCCTCTTCCACTCTTCTCTTTCCTGCATGCTTGTATTATAGAGCATTGTTGGCTTATCACTCAATACAATCTTGAATTCTCACAATGGGGTGTAACTATGTAAGAAACAGTGTAACCATGTAACTGTGTAAGCACATAGCAAGGAACCCATTCAAGTGTGCGCCCGATCCCTCCCTCCCTTTGCCTGCCAACCAGTGCTGCAGGCCAGAAATCCCACACACCTGAGGCCTACACCAGGCCTACGCCAGGCCTACATGAGGCTTACACCAGGCCTACATCAGGCTTACACCAGGCCTACATCAGGCTTACACCAGGCCTACATGAGGCTTACACCAAGCCTACATGAGGCTTACACCAGGCCTACATCAGGCCTACATCAGGCAGTGGGGAGACAACTGAACTTAACTCATCCTCCCATACTTCAAACTTCCATTCCAGCACCTCATGCGGGCATGCAACACTACAGGCATGAAATCTCACACACCGAAGGCCAACATCAGGCAGTGGGGAGACAACACTGCAACCTTGACCCATGCGAAATGCAGCCCATCATCCTCCCATGCTTCAACCTTCCACCCCAGGACCTCATGCGGGCATGCAACGCTGCAGATGCTGATAAGAAGATAAGCAGATAAGAGAAGCATACCTGTGGGTAATTTTCCCCAAGCTCCTCACACGTGTCGAGCTACTCACAGGTGATAAAGTAATGCAAGGGTAATTTCCCCTATAATACGCTCAAAACAGGGATGAAGGCACCTGAACTCACCCTCCCCCACTCAAACTTCCTCCCCAGCACGTTGTAAGGTCACTCCAACAGTTCACCCCCCCTCCACTTGGAACGTCCACCCCAGCACCTCTTAAGGCCACTCAAACAACGCACCTTCTCCGACCTCAAAGCTCCACCCCAGCACCTCGTGCGCCTGAGCCTGCTCCGCCCCCTTGCCCGTGGCCGCTGTGAATCCCACAAACAGTGGCGGGGGGGGCGCTGCTGCCTCTGGGTCGTTTCCCCCCAGCCACTCGCAGGTGTCCAGGAACATGGAGAGGACAGCAGAGCGCGGGAGAGGAGGGGAGGTGGGGGAGGAAGAGCGAGAGGAGGAGGGGGCGGGGGAGAGGTAGACGGTGAGGTGGGAGGAGGAGGCGTTGTACTGGATGGTGGCGAGGAGGGTTTGACCGGCGTTGAGGGAGGGAATGCCGAGGGGGTGCACGGGGACAGAGGCGAGAGAGAGCATGCTGCCGTGCAGGTTCACCCCCACGTGGTGGTCGGGCCGGTCGAAGAACTGAGGAGAAGAGGACGTGTCAAACTCTACTGCCAGGCTCCTGTGCTGCTGTGGCTGTGTGGGGGGAGGGGGGGGGGGGGGGGGGGGGGTGGGAGAGGCAGCAGCAGCAGCAGCAGCACAGCAGAATGGCAGAGCAGCAACAGAAGAGAGCAGTAGAGGCAGAGGTGGAGAGTGAAGGAGTGCACGGGGGCAGAGGCGAGAGAGAGAGCATGCTGCCGTGCAGGTTCACCCCCACATGGTGGTCGGGGCGGTCCCAGAACTGAGGAGAAGAGGACGTGTCGAATTCCACTGCCAGGCTCCGCTGCTGCTGTGGATGGTGGGGAAGGGGTAGGCACGGTCTGTTAAGACACATGTGTCAAACTCCACTGCCAGGCTCCACTGCTGCTGTGGATGGGGGGAGGGAGGGGGGGGGCAGCAAATGGCAGCAGCAGATAAAGACAACTGCAGAAGCGCAAAGCAGCAGCAAAAAGGAGCAAGAAATGCAGAGGAAGACCAGCGGACAATTTACAGGGAAGACGAAAGGCGAGAGACGGAAGACAAAAACACCACGGGATGCCGATGGAAGGCGAACGAGAAGGAAGAGATGATATCGATGAGCATACCTCCCCTCCTCTTGGTACGCCGAGCGAGGGCAATGGTATCATTACAAAAGCTAAGCCCTGCTGGGTGAATTTTACTTTTGAGAATTCTCGTCAAATATCGATGAGCATACCTCCTCTTGGTACGCCGAGCGAGGGCAATGGTATCATTACAAAAGCTAAGCCCTTCTGGCCTATCCCCATCACATTGGGAGGAAGGAGCTGTTTCTGAGGTAACACGTACCTGAGATGACATGTACCTGAGATGACACGTACCTGAGATGACACGTACCTGAGATGACACATACCTGAGATGACACATACCTGAGATGACACGTACCTGAGATGACACGTACCTGAGATGACACGTACCTGAGATGACACGTACCTGAGATGACACGTACCTGAGATGACACGTCACTGGAATTATCAGCGCCAGTCGTGCTCCCCGGGGGCAGCAGCACACGGCCGTAGCCCAAAGAGGGCCCTGGCAGGCCGAGCATGGGCGTCGGCAGCATCACAAACGCCAAGCCCTCGCCGCCCAGCCCGGCGGCATTGGGGGAGGAGATGCGGAAGGCGAAGGAGGTGGAGAAGGAGAAGGGGCGGCAGGGGGAGGAGGGCGTGGCGGGGGCGAGCAGGGCAAAGGGGGCGGGGTGCAGCGCGAGAGCAGCAGCGTTGAGGTCAGAGAGCGTGGTGAGGGAGAGAGAGGATGAATTGCGGCGTGCTGAGCCGGCTGTGAGGAGCGGATGGGCTCTGGAGAGCGGCCAGTGGGAGAAGCATTTGAGGGGGGACGGGTTGGCTGCAGCGGACAAGGATGGGGAGTTGAAGGGGATGGGGGGAGGTGAAGGTTGAAGAGGAGTGGGAGCGAAAGTGAAACGAGGGATCGAAAGTGAAACGAGGGATCGATCGTGCACATGCGCGGGAGGAGTGAGAGGGATCGATCGTGCACATGCGCGGGAGGAGTGAGAGGGATCGATCGTGCACATGCGCGGGAGGAGTGAGAGGGATCGATCGTGCACATGCGCGGGAGGAGTGAGAGGGATCGATCGTGCACATGCGCGGGAGGAGTGAGAGGGATCGATCGTGCACATGCGCGGGAGGAGTGAGAGGGATCGATCGTGCACATGCGCGGGAGGTTAGGCCTTGGGTATGTGCAGCGCATGCTTTCTTCTGCTATACCTGTCATGTGAGTCGTCACACACCTGTGATGTGAGTCGTCACACACCTGTGATGTGAGTGGGTGGGAGTTGAGCATGAGTGCAGCGCATGCTTTCAGCCAACTATACATGTGACACACCTGTGACCCTGGCAGCCATTGCTGTCTTTCTCACTCACTGCGAGTGGGCATGACAGACGCAAGGTCGATATCAGTGCTCCCCGCTCCTGCTCCTCCTCCCACTTCCGCCACCACACCCACTCGCTTTACCACTGCCGCCTTTACTCCCACTCCCGCACCTGCTGCTCCTCCCGTACTCGCAGCAACAGTGGCGCTGGTGGTGCCGATGCTACTGCTGTCACTGCTGCTGGCAGCTATGCTGCTAGTGGCGCTGGCAATACTGCTGGTGGTGGCAACGGTGGCAGTGCCGCTCGTGCTGTTACTGCTGCTGTTACTGTCTTGCACACCTCGAATCACCAAGTGCAGCGCCACTCCCCCTGGGGGCACTACCAGCGAGGAAGGGGAAGAGGCGGAGGAAGAAGAGGAGGAGGAATCCGGGGGGTCAGGGAGGGGGAAGAGGAGGGGTCCCACTTGGAACCAAGGCAAGGCGCTGGACAAACTCGCTCTGCTCCCCCCACACGGCACGCCCACCCGCCACTCCGCCCACACCTGCTCCCCTGCTCCTCCTTCCCCCCCTCCCCCAGTTGTTCCATCTCCCCCTGCTGTGGCGGGGCCGGAAGCATTCAGCGGAACTGCCAGCAGCAGCACCTTCAACAGCCGCTCCGCCTCCCCTTCCGCGCCCTCTTCCCCCTCCGCGCACAGGCTGGCGCGCGCAAAGAACGAGAGGGACAGCTGGCGCGGGGACTGCTGCTGCTGCTGCTGCTGCGCCTGCTGCGACACATTGATGGTCGGCGCCGCGGCGGGTTTGAGTTCGCACAGCGCTTGCGCCACGCCTGGGCCGCCAAACGCGCTACCACTACTACTAGAGTTGCTACCATTGCTACTTCCAGAAGCGTCGTCGCCACTAAGCGACGCGGAAATAGCGGACGTCAGCCGTAAGAAACGGGACCCGTCAGCTGCCAGTAGGGTGTCCGTGACTCCCGTGACCCCATTATTTATTGACACGTCAGCAGCCGACGCCGCCCCCGCGGCTGTCGCGATCGCTTCCGCCAGTGTCGCACCGGCTGACGTAAGCAATGGTCCGAGTTTTGCGCCGCCAGATGCGGCGGTGGCTAAGAACTCGTCGGTTGAAATTGTTTCTCCAGGTTCCAAGGCGCGCCACGGGAATAAGTACGGCCATGGATCGCAGGACGCGTTCAGCTTCTTGCGACGCCATCCAGTATCGAGACAGCTTGTATCGAAGCTAGGGTTCGAGAGGAGGTTTGACGATTCACCTGTGACGGCAAAGAAGGGGGTATAATGGAAGAGAATTGGGGATTAATAGGGTAATTGATCGGATCATGGCAACGAAACCTTATAAGATGCAGCTTCGCGAGTTTTTGAGACGTTGGCGGCAATAGGGAGGGCTTTGAACGAAAAAACGGGAGAAGCGAAATGCACGCCAACAAGTGACCGGAATGGGGAAGAAGGGGATAAAACCATCATAATGGCTGGAGGCAAAAGGAACGAGTAAAATACGGAAAGAGAGGGTGACGAAAAGAGATTGAGTAGAGACCCCTCATTACAAGTGTGCTTACGACCTGACTTCTTAGTATAGCGACGACACGGACAACGGCGACGAAACAGTCAGCGGCGACGAAACAGTCAGCGGCGACGAAACCGTCAGCGGCGACGAAACAGTCAACGGCGGTGATACCAGGAACGGGAAAAGCGGAGCCTCTTACTTGGATCGGTAAGGTTATGGCAGTCGACGAGACTCGGCTGCCTAGTATATCGACGAAACATTCAACGGCGGTAATCCCTGGGAACGAGGAAAAGCGGAGCCTCTTACTTGGATTGGTAAGATTATGGCAGTCAACGAGACCATCAGCGACACGAACAAAGGCTACGACATGGAGGAGAAACGTAACCCGACGGAAAATCGCGACATGGAGAAGACACGTGGCTCCTGGTTGAACCCGCAATCTGCGGCGAGAGACGCGGCAGGAATTCATCGGCTCCGACGCGTTTCTGAGGATAACTTTTCCCAAACGGACTACTTTTTACGACTCGGGAAAATATATTTCCGCCACGTAGACCGCTTATCGGAAAGGTTGCACTCTGAAAGAGGCTCGGACGTTCCGTCCCGGACTGACACTCGCCATTCTGAGTGGGCCTGTTCCGGCGAGCTATGCTATGGGTCCTAGTACTACAGGAAGCACAGCGACGGTAACGGCAGTCACGCACTGTTGACGAGAGCGCTACACTCATGCGGGCACAGCTGGAGCTTGTGCAGAGGGTGGAGGAGATGGGGAGTGTCTGTACACCCATAGTTATGTAATCTCGAGAGTCCTTCGGTATCTTGGCCTCTGGTCACCTTAGGTCTATCTCGTGGTCTTGTACACGTGTACTGCACTGCCCACGAAGTTCAGGACGCAGTTAAAGTGAAGAAATCGGAGGATCGTGAAATTATCGAATCTCAAGATCGCTTTTGGGAATCGATCAGTGAAACAATCTGTTGTAACGATCGGAAGAATTCGACCGCTATGTTCCATTCCCGGGGATCACTTTGGCGCGCAGATGTCACCCACTTTGTAGAGTTTCGTAAAAGCATGAGTGCGAAATGTGAAAAGTGTGCGATGCGTTTCACCCGATTAGCGAAATATTGTCACGTCGCAAGCACCTGGATCAGTCGTCACTGTCATGCTCGGTTCGTCGGCATTTGCTTCCCAGCGATGCCGCGATTGATTAACGATCAGTCGTCCTGTCTGAATGTATGTGTATTTTGAATAGGTTACTGTATCTAAGTTACTCTTCCAAAAGCAGGAAACTAATCCGCACATCGATGCTAAGGACGATTGATGGTCTACTTTTGGATGCGTACTGCAGGCGCATCAGCCTGATTCGCTGAGGCTCGGCCTGATGCGGACATTGGGACATTCATACATTTTGGTTCGGATTACTAAAATTCATATCCCTTACATTAAAATTTTAGACGACCAAAATGTTTTGGGTTTCTTGGAAGATTACCACGCGGAATTTTTGGGATGCCAACCAATGAGGGTTTACGGGAAAAAAACTTATTGGCCAATGGCGGTGCCCCGCAACAGCTGATGCGCGCATCATGCGACTTCGAGCTGTTGCTATCGAAGTGAAAGGCCCCGCCCTCGTTTGGGCGCAGGCATTATCTGCGATGACGTGGTGAATTCGACGAAGTGATCGTCGCATTGGATCAGCCCGTCCTCTGAAACCGCGGTGGGTTTCCGAGGAGGTGGTCTTCTGATTCACCAGCCCATCAACGAGCTCTGGTCGACGGGGTGCTGTTCGACGAGCTCGTCCTCTGATCTGTTAGTGAGTCGCGCGATCTCTGACGGACGGGGTGCAGTCCGAAGAGCCTCCTTCTCCGATCGAAGGGCGCCGTTCGGCGAGCCTCGTCTCGGCGAATTGGTTGGCCGAATTCGCGCGGCTGCGGAACTCTGCGAAGGCATGCGAAATTCGCTCAGGTGGTTCGTAGCGAAATTTCACATTCGGAATGGCATCACGTGCTCGGCGGTAGACATCTGACGAAACCGTCGGAACTTTTTCTACCTGGCACCTGCCCAATGTCTCTGACGGTGTAACCGTTTACCTGCACCTATGTGAAGGAATGAGGAATGAAGAAGAGAGGAGAGGTTTCACTAGCAGCAGTTGGGATACATATAGCAAACCCTAACAGGGTTGTACTCGCTATAGAGCACCCCACTACAGGCTAGATAATAACATTCTGACACACCCCCATAGCCAAAGTGGGGTGTAATCAGCACAATGAGCAAGCAGGCATAGAGCAGGAGTTTACAATAGCGAGCAAAGCTAGAGTTAATCACAGCGGGCAAGTGAGGAGGAGGAGGAACTGTGGAGGGAGAGAAGATGGGAGGCAACGACTGAAGCTGCAGAGGCACGGGCACAGGAGCGGCTGACTCAGTGGCTACCGAAGCAAGGGCGACGGACTACTGGAGTAACTGGCTCCGCGGCTATAGACGAGCGGCAGGAGCAACGGACCCACTGGCGACTGGTGCAACAGGCTCACTGGCTACCGAAGCAAGGGCGACGGACTACAGGCGCTGCAGGCGACACGACAGCTACCTTCACACAACCTCCTCCAACTGCCCCACACCCTCGACACACACCCCCTGCTCAAACCCTAGCTCCACTCCCACAGCACCCCCCTTAAACCCTAAACCCCAGGCTCACACACATCCACCCCCCTCAAACCCTAGCTCCACTCCCACAGCACCCCCCTTAAACCCTAAACCCCAGGCTCCCACACATCCACCCCCCTCAGCGACAGCTGCAGCAGTGGGAGACGAAGGAGGAGGAGGAGCAGGGGAGACCGCACACCCGCCACCCCCTACTCGCCACCCCCAGACCCTAACACAGGGCAGGGCGGAACGGCGGGTAGGGAGGTTACGGGGGGGGGGGGCGACGCGCGGCCTCCCAGGGCGCCTAAACAGGCGGCAGAAGGGGCGACGCTCGCCCCCCCCCCCCCAGGTCGCCCCTCCCGTCGCCAGTCGCGGCTCCCTGGGGGGCCGCGCGCGGCCCCCTCAGGTCGCCTCGACAGGCGACGGGAAAAGAGGGGGGGGGGGCGGTGCACGGGCCCCCGGTGCGCCGCGATAGGCGACGGAGCATGGCCGGGCCGGGGCCGGGGCAGGGGCGAGGCAGGGCCGAAAGGGGCGGCGACGGGGCCGCAAGTGGCGGCGACGGGGCCGCTGGAGGCGGCGACGGGGCCGATAGGGGCGGCGACGGGGGCGCTAGGGGCGGCGACGGGGCCGCTGGAGGCGGCGACGGGGCAGATAGGGGCGGCGACGGGGCCGCTAGGGGCGGCGACGGGGCCGCTGGAGGCGGCGACGGGGCCGATAGGGGCGGCGACGGGGCCGGGAAGGGCGGCGACGGGGCCGAGAAGGGCGGCGACGGGGCCGCTAGGGGCGGCGACGGGGCCGGGAAGGGCGGCGACGGGGCCGCGAAGAGGTCGCGAGGGGCCTTGAAGGGCAGCCACGGGGCCGCGAAGGGCGGCGACGAGGCCGCTAGGGGCGGCGACGGGGCCGCGAAGGGTGGCGACGGGGCCGCTAAGGGCGGCGACGGGGCCGCTAGGGGTGGCGCGACGGGCCGCTAAGGGCAGGGGACGCGACTAGAGGGCGGCCCACGGGGCGTGCAACAGACAGTAGCAGCGGAAGCAGTAGGGTGGGCCCACAGGCCAGGAGCGTAGATGCTCTGATAGCATGTGAAAGAATGAGGAATGAAGAAGAGAGAAGTTTCACTAGCAGCAGTTGGGATACATATAGCAAACCCTAACAGGGTTGTACTCGCTATAGAGCACCCCACTACAGGCTAGATGATAACATTCTGACAGCGATCACCCACA